CATTATCCTGAGGCATCACCGGCATCGTTGGCCGCCGCTCGCCGCGCGCATAAGACGGGGAGGCGTCCTCCTCGCAACAGTCTCGCGGCGTAGGCGAGCAGGCGAGGGGCGAAACAAGAGAGCTCGCGGCAAAGGCCACCAAGAAGAACCACAGAGGCAGTCTCCATGGCCGCCGAGGCGCCCTTGCGAGCCGCCGCCGCCGCGGCGCGGTCCGCGCGCCGGCCGGCCGCCACCACCGTCGTCTCCGCCTCGTCCGCCTCGCGCCTCCTCCTCGGCCACCGCCCCTTCCACGCGCCGCGCTTGGCCTCCGGGCGCGCCGCGGTGGCAGGCCCCGTGGCCGGACTCCGCCCGCGCCCGCGCAGGCCGCGCCTCTCGGTCGTCGCCATGGCCGGCAGCGGTGAGCGAGCGTTGTAATCCTTTTGTGAAGTTTCCATTCTCTTATTGGGCGCAGGCGTTTCTGTAGTGCGCCAGCGCGTGAGTGTTCCGTGTGTTTGTCGAAATGACCAAGAGCGTACCTCCGTAGAGCAGCAGTGGGTTGCAGTATACGAGAGTGAAATTAAGGTTGATCGTTAGTGATTGTGCTTCATCCTGCTTACCCAAAGGGACCAGTTTGCTTGTTGACGTGCTTGTCTCTGCAGTGCCTATACCGCTTTTTAATCGTCTGTGCTTTACCAGACAAATATTTTAAGTTGTTTCTTAAAAAAGATTGGTGGAATTATGGTGCTCAGAATCGAAGTTAAATCAATGATGAACTTCATAACTTGCTGTTGGACTTTGTTTCTGTAGATGTTATTCTAATTAAATTTTGCTTATCACAAATTCAATATCTATATATCTATTTAAAGAGCCATCCCATGAATATTCTCTTTATATATCTCTCGTGTCTCCAATGGACGGACTCCAATAGCTTATCATAATTTTCCTTGTGTGAAAAAATTCATAAGAGGACTACCATATATTGAATTTAGAGAGTGATGTGCCTCTCCATTAGCGGAGAGCGAGGAGGGTGGTTTTGGGGAGCGGAAAAGATGGAGAGTGGTGTAGAGAGTCCTTTGGAGTCTGATTTTTTGGTTTGTTTTCTGAATTTTGTGATAAAGAACCATGAAGAGAGTCTCTTGGATATTTTTTAAAGAGGCCCAATAATGGAAGTTCTGCAAATATTTAAGAAAAATAGGTTCCAAGCCTCCAAGGCCTTGTAAATGAGTGTGCCTCTTCATGAGTTTGCTTGATGCGAATTTTCAGCAAGTATGAAATGCGGAGGGCAGAGGGTGTCAGTGTCCAGTGCTTTTCATGCCACTTGGTACTATAGATTTTGTTGTATGCAACTTAAAATATCGGCATGTGTCATATCAATGCTAAACCAAATGAAGCTCTGAAATTGCATGTCACTTGCTTTTTTAATTACATTTTCTTATTGCTAAATCCACCATTCTTGTTGGGAATAATATATCATTTTGTTGGTTTAATGAGTTAGATATTAACTTGCTTTTTTTTTTTGTATCCAGATCGCCAAGTGCCTTTACATGATTACCGCAATATTGGGATTATGGCCCATATAGATGCAGGAAAGACAACAACTACTGAGCGCATTCTGTATTACACTGGAAGGAACTACAAGATTGGCGAGGTTCATGAGGGAACAGCTACAATGGACTGGATGGAACAAGAACAAGAGAGAGGAATAACCATTACATCTGCAGCCACGACTGCCTTCTGGAACAAACACAGAATCAACATTATTGATACTCCTGGTCACGTCGACTTCACTCTTGAGGTTGAACGTGCTCTTAGGGTGTTGGACGGCGCTATATGTCTCTTTGACAGTGTTGCTGGGGTAGAACCACAGTCTGAAACTGTGTGGCGCCAGGCAGATAAATATGGGGTTCCAAGAATATGTTTCGTGAACAAAATGGATCGCCTTGGAGCTAACTTCTTTAGAACTAGGGACATGATAGTTGCAAACTTGGGTGCCAAACCATTGGTAATTCAGTTGCCGATTGGTTCAGAGGACAATTTCCAAGGAGTTGTTGATCTAGTCAGAATGAAAGCTATTGTATGGACAGGGGAGGAGCTGGGTGCAAAATTTGAATACAAAGACATACCTGATGATCTCCAAGAGATGGCTCAAGATTATCGTGTTCAGATGCTGGAAACTATTATTGAATTGGATGATGAAGTTATGGAGAATTATCTTGAAGGAACTGAACCAAACGAGGAAACTGTTAAGAAATTAATCAGAAAGGGAACAATTTCTGCCAGCTTTGTCCCAGTTTTATGTGGTTCAGCATTCAAAAACAAGGGTGTCCAATCATTGCTTGATGCTGTTGTCGATTACTTGCCATCTCCACTCGATCTACCTTCAATGAAGGGTACTGACCCAGAAGACCCTGAAATAATACTTGAAAGGCAACCAAATGATGATGAACCATTTTCTGGGTTAGCTTTCAAGATCATGACTGATCCATTTGTGGGGTCACTAACATTTGTTCGCATATACTCCGGGAAGCTGGTAGCTGGTTCATATGTTCTCAATGCAAATAAAGATAAGAAAGAAAGAATTGGAAGACTCCTTGAGATGCACGCAAACAGTAAGGAAGATATAGCAGTTGCTGTGACAGGTGACATAGTGGCACTTGCTGGTCTGAAAGACACAATTACTGGTGAAACACTCTGTGATCCAGACAAGCCTGTAGTGCTTGAACGTATGGAATTTCCTGATCCTGTCATTAAGGTTGCTATTGAACCCAAGACCAAAGCTGATGCTGACAAAATGGCTAATGGGTTATTCAAGCTTGCTCAGGAAGACCCGTCATTCCACTTCTCTAGAGACGAGGAAACCAACCAGACTGTTATTGAAGGAATGGGAGAACTGCATCTTGATATCATTGTAGACAGACTAAAGAGGGAGTTCAAGGTTAGTATTATGACTAGCTACATTTATGCAGTGCATGCATCGTACGTTTCTTTTCTATTCTATATGGAAATTTATTATTTGGTCGTTAGCTGTTGTTAACTCAGTTTTGTACCTGCCACATTACCTTCTTTTATGCAAACGATCTGTGCAGGTTGAAGCAAACGTTGGAGCTCCACAAGTCAACTACCGTGAAAGTATTTCCAAAGTTGCAGAAATACAATATGTCCACAAAAAGCAATCTGGTGGATCTGGGCAGTTTGCAGACATTATTGTGCGTTTTGAACCTTTGGAAGCTGGAAGTGGGTATGAGTTCAAGAGTGAAATCAAGGGAGGGGCAGTGCCCAAAGAATATGTACCAGGAGTGATGAAAGGATTGGAAGAAAGCTTACCCAATGGTGTCCTCGCTGGTTACCCAGTTGTGGACTTCCGGGCTGTGCTGGTTGATGGCTCATATCATGATGTCGATTCAAGTGTCTTAGCATTCCAAATTGCAGCCAGAGGAGCCTTCCGTGAGGGAATGAGGAAAGCTGGTCCAAGGCTTCTCGAGCCTATAATGAAAGTTGAAGTGATAACTCCTGAAGAGCATCTGGGCGATGTTATTGGTGATTTGAACTCTAGAAGAGGACAGGTTAACAGCTTCGGGGATAAGCCTGGTGGACTCAAGGTATGAAATAGTACATCTCCCCTTTTGTAGACTAGTTTATCATAGTCTGCTACTTGCAACATGACCTTAAACATTTTGCTTACAATGTTATTCATCACAATTCACAGGTGGTTGATGCTTTTGTGCCACTTGCTGAGATGTTCCAATACGTCAGCACCCTCCGGGGGATGACCAAGGGGCGAGCGTCCTACACGATGCAGCTCGCCAAGTTTGACGTCGTCCCACAGCACATCCAGAACCAGCTCTCCACCAAAACAGAGGAAGCTACTGCTTAATTTTCATTCCCGTAGATAAATCCATACAGCAACAGCAGAGCAGGTTGATAGGAAGGACATCAAGGTGTATGTAGCTATGTAGTGTATTGAACCCCGTGAGGGGGCATTATTTGCCATTGATTTTGGACCTGATAATGGCCTTGTCGAGGTTTCGCGATGAGAGGACAGTGAAATTATATGTTTTTGGTTCCTTGCTCCTGTTGAGAAGCTGAGAAGTTGCAGATCGTTCTCCCTCTTGTTCTATTAGACTATTACGACATGTAAAAAATAACGTAGAGAGTACCGAGCTAGCATTTCCAATGCTATGACCTTTTTTCTACAGAAATGGCGCCCCTTCTCAACTCAAACGAGCTAAGAATTCTGGATCAGCTGATGAGCAGTTGGTGAAGTGGTGGCATGATTTCGTTACCCTGACGAGCGATGTTTCGGATATTGAAGAAATCTGATTTTGCCTAGACTTGTAATAGGTTGTTGTGTCCTCTTGTGGTGTTCTTTTGTGAGCTGATACCCCAGCCTTACTTTGCGAACATTTAATTGCTTTCATTTCAATATAAGCAGAGGTATCTCGTTTCATCAAAAAGAAAAGTACTGAGCTATCACGACACCATTATGATCACCCGGGAATTACTGCAAGAAAAGCCAAGAAGGAACAATTTTGGGCTTCAGGAACTCGATTACTGCAAGAAAAGCCAAGAAGGAACAATTTTGGACTTCAGGAACTCGATTGGTGCCTGTTACCTATTTACCCAATCATAAAAGCAATTATCAGACCATCGCCAATCTGAACTTACACGATGGGCACCTGCCACTCCACTGGCAAGGCCCGACGTATCGAACGATCGAAGGAGCCGAACCGATGTGGGGTGTTGGCGAAGGAGCTGATGCTGATCCGATGAACCCGGGTGGTGAACCACTGCGGCTTTTTCAAATGGACGGTACCATCACGTAACTCTAGAAACTGCTCGAGTGCGAGGAGACTGAACACTCTTCCTCTTCACAGGCATTGGAAAAACCATATGGATAATTAACAGCCATGACCACACAAACCGATTCAGTTTCCAAAATGCGAAACAATGATGATCAGGTTCACAGCATTTCCAGCACAGGTCCCAGTTCTGAACCCGGCCATTCCAGCCACTGTCTACTTCTACTTCATCTGAACTATCCCGGCGCTGACGAGCTTCTGGATCTTTTGCATCACTCCGGGGTTCTTGAGGTGCACCTGGGCAGCTCGAGGGTTCTCCTGTAAATCGGTCAAAACCTGCAGGGCAAGCTCGGAATTATCAGATCGTCATCAGTCTCACCTACCTTAAGTGCATTTAAAATCAAATGCAGACGTCTATCGTTACCTGCCGCATGATCGGATCAGTCAGGATGTTCTGGATTTCAGGGTCCTGCATGCCTTTGTTCTGCGTAACAAAGGGTGACCTGTTAGTCATTGTGTTCTTGGCTTCTTGCATTACTAGTGGATGGAACGACAGGCAAAGTACTCCATCCATCATTAACGAACAAAAGATTTAGACAAAATCAGTTTACCTGTCTCTCTTTCAGTTCCTCCTCGCTGAGTTCGCCTCTGCTCGCCTTGTTGATCTGTTCAACACACCTGAAAAGAAAAGGATCAGAGCAACGATTAGAACTGCTGCTTAGCACACACCAACATCAGAAGACGTGTATGATCTCTTCCATCAGCAGCATTACCTCCTTACACCATCAAGCAGCTCCTGATTTTTTGGGTCATGCTTTAGGCCAGCTTGATAAGTTTCCAGCGCTTTGTCATATTCTTTCATGAAAAATTGGATAGCACCTTTCCTTGTGTATCCCTTGGAGAATGTGGGATCTAGCTCAATGCACTTCTCAGCATCTTTCAGACCTTCAGGAAGGGCCCCCAGCTTGGTGTAACAGGCAGCCCTATTGCTGTATACCTGAAATCATCCATGAAGGAAAGAACTTAAAAATGTCCACACATCAATCACATGTGACGTACCTGGAAGTCAAAAAGGCAAATCTAAAGTTTTCAAATTGGCAACAACAGAAGTCAAAGAAACAGTTGTAGATTGATTCAAATGCTATATTCAAGTTTCACAATGTTACACCAATTCATATTCTCAAAAAAAATTACCCTGCAGATTAGAGGATGCACAGTAACATGTTAGATTGATCTCCACCCAGCTCGGTCCAACGACCGAGTCGGACCCTGACTCGCGCCCTGATCGGGGGCGCTCAGCCGTTCTCCTGGCTAGTGGGCCCCCGTCGCGCAGCGCTATGAATAGGAGGTGGGGGCTGGGGCTCGAGATACAAGGTTCACCGCAGCCGCCAGCGCCCCACCGACGTCCTAACCCTAGTCCGATAGAGAGGGCGCGCTGTGAGCGACGAGAAGCGCCACCGCTTTCGCCACCGCCACTGGATCGCGCCTCCACTGCACAGCTACCTCTACTAAGATACTCGAGGCCACGTCGCTGTGGCGCCATGGCCGCGACTACGCTTTGGGAGGTACATCGACAAGTTCTTTGTCTAAGTTAAATTTCACCGGCTAGATCTACACCTAGAGGTCCTATAAATTCTATCATTGGTATCGGAGCAAGGTTGGTGTGCAGATCTAGTTTGGGGTAGTCTAAGTTTTAGCATTTAGAAGGAGATGAATCGGAACGAACAAATCCAGTCGAGTTAAACCCTAACCCTAACCCTAGAAGCAGGACGGAGAGGACAGGGGCTTACCTATCGCAGTTGTCACCGCCGGCGTCGCTCGGCGTTGTGCGGGAAGAGCACCCGAATCGCCGGCGCCGGTCGGTCACGCCACCGCGCGGCCTCCGCATCGGGCTCGGGAGTCAAGGGCGTCGCCACAAGGCTGCTCAACGGAGGCGCGCTCAGCCTCGGGCGAGCGCGCGCGCCGACGAGGGGCCCCGCGGCAGCGCCGCCACGCCTGTCCGGTCGCCATGAGCAGTCGTATCTGTTCCCCTAGATCTACTCGCCATGGCTGCAGGGCTAAAACAGAAGAGAAGGGGAGCGAGAAACAAGAAGAGGAAGGGTAGTCGGAACTGCTCCGGCGGCGCTTCACCGATGCCGACGGCCAATGTGACCGCCGCCGTTGTCGCCTCTACGGCGAAGAGAGAGGAGGGGAGGGTGAAAATGAGTTTAGGGTTTGGGGGAGGAGGCAGGCGCCGGGGTTTTGTTCCTCCGAGTCTCGCGCACGACCGTCGGATCACGATCGACGGTTCGCAGTGCTCGGACCGTATGGCCCAAGCGGGAGAGAAGAATTCGGCCCGAGCCCGTGTTGTGGCTCGACAGGGGCCTTGCAGCTGCGCCTTGAATAGGCCATGGGCGGTTTCGATATGGACAATACTTGGACCGGCTGAACCGCATAATGCGTGAGCGAGATGGGCTCCAGGCTGGCTTTTTCTCGATTGGGCCAAAATGAACAGAAGAGCCTGTTTCAAGGTTTATTATTTTCAGAAGCAAATTTTGATGAATTTAGATTAGTTTTTCATCTCTATTCAATTTTGAACCAACGGGATAAATTGTTCGAGATAGATGAGTACACTGAAATGCTTCTGAAAAGTAGATAAATTATATTTTTCATGTTTCCACTGTAAAGTTAATGATTATTATCTTCTCATTAAATTCGAATCAACGGGAGGATTTAATTTGAAAAGCAGTTATATGTATTCAGTAAATTATGATTATGTTTATCCTCTAATCAAATTGAGACCAACGGAAAAAATTAAATTGGCGAGTAGTCCGATTTGTTTAAGTTTAATTATGATATTATTATTTTCCTGTGCAACGTTGATAAACAATATTATAATGAGTTTAAGTTTGAAATTTAAATCTCTGGTAAATTTACATCAATGTGGTCAATTTTTCAGAGAGTAGATAAGTACCAAGAAATGCTCCTGAACTAATGGAATTTATTTTATTATCATGTTTTCACTGCAATGATGTTGATTAATTAAATTCGAACCAACAGTAAAATTTAATTTTGAAGAGTAGTTATATGTCCTTCAAGTTAATTTATGAATTTTATGCATTAATTCTATTTTCTGCCCAACAGTGATGTAGAATTGATGCAGAAACACCTTATATGTTTTAATTTTAACCCACGAGATCACTCGGCTGTAAGTCAACGGGCTGCAATATTAGGCTATGTGAATGAAAAGGCTTGAGTTAAGTCACTTCAGGACTATTTTTTGTTAGTTTGCTAATTTTCTGATTAAATTGGAACCAACGGAAAGATTTAATTGGAAAATGAAGTATAAGTGAATGTTTTAGTCGTCATGACTAAGTTTTCGTTACAGTAAATAGTATATTTTTTTCATCATTATGATAAGAGTTGCAATAAGTAACATGCATGTCTAATTTGACCAACGTTGGATTAAGCATGCGTGTTTGTATATAGATTTATCCCACATGAGAAGTTTGGCATAGTACTTATGCTAGTCAATACTGCATGGCGGGAGAAGTTTTATAATGACTCATATGTTTTTATATCATGCATAGCGAGAGAAGTTTGGGTAGCTTTTATGCTATCCTAGTATTGACCATGGCACAATAGAAATGCACCGTCATGGTCAATACTAACCAAAAGATAAGAAAAAGTATACAAGCGTGACTTACAAAAGTACTGCTAATAAAAGACCTTGTTGAGTTCTTGAAGTGGAATGAGGAAAGTGTACTCCTATACGGTTCAAAAAATAACTTTGTTAGAATAACATAATCATGTGAATGAAGTAAGTTATAAGTGTCTCATCGTTCGCAGGTTTTCTAAATAATTCTCGAAATTATGGCAGTAAAGCTCATGCCATATTTCGAGGGGGAGAATTGTGAGATCAATTAAGAGTAAGAGCAAAGATATAATTAAGAAAGATGAGATAAAGATGTTGATGAATGTGACTACTCTTCATTAAGAGTGAGATAAAGAATTTGATGAATGTGACCGTTGATCATAATAACGATACCCCTAAATAGAGAAATAGCTAAATTCCTAGACCTTTTACAGTCTCGATAGGAAGATAGCGTAGTCAGCCAGAATTCATACTGGATGAGCCTTAAAGATGTTAATGTGGTGCTTAAAGCGCCATATGAGGTTTTAACATGATTAAACCCACACAAGAAATTTAAAGATACACTATCTTTATAGAAGATGGGATGATCTGGAGAGAACATGGTATGTAGAGACCTATGACTCGAAGAGAAGCGGGACTGCGTGCCCACTTCAGTGATTCAAAAACAATGAATTTCACAATACCTGTTGATATTGTATGACTTACACAACACATGTTGTTAGCTCTTGAAAAAATGAATAATGTAAACAAAGATTTTGTAATATAGGAGCCTGTAGAATCAATTCTCTTGGCAATGAAGAGCAACAACAGCCCCATATGAAAGTGCTAGTAGCTGAGGCCCCAGAAGATCTCAAAGAATTAGAAAACCAATTTTCTGATGACTATGAAGTCTATGTTAGTGAAGAAATTCAAATGGTGGGTGATCCCACCTTATTTGAAGAAGCCATGAGAAGCGTTTACTCGTCTAAATGGCAAAAAGCTATGGAAGCTGAAATGAATTCGATGAATACCAACGATGTTTGGGACTTAGAATAATTTTCTAATGGAGCTAAAACAGTAGGCTGTAAATGGGTCTACAAGACAAAACGTAACTCCAAAGGTAATGTAGAAAGATATAAAGCACGACTTGTAGCAAAAGGCTTTACACAAAGAGAATGAATAGATTACAATGAGAGTTTTCTCTTCAATCTCATGCAAGGATTCTTTTAGAATCATAATGGCGTTAGTGGCACATTACGATTTAGAGTTACATCAGATGGATGTGAAGACGGCATTTCTCAAAGGGGATTTGTATGAAAACGTTTACATGGCACAACCCAAAGGTTTTGTCGTGGAAGCAAAAGAATGTATGAGATGCCGCTTGTAGAAATCCATTTATGGGTTAAAACAAGTCTCTAGAGAGTAGTATTTGAAGTTGATGAAACAATAAGAAAGTTTGGGTTTAAAGAAAATGAGAAGGACAATAGCGTTTATGTGAAGTTCAAGAATAAAAAATTCATTTTCCACGTCCTGTGTATAGATGACAGTCTACTCACTAGTAGTGATGTTAATCTGCCATTGGAGAAAAAGTTCTTGTCCTCAAGTTTGAATATGAATGATCTTGGTGAAGCGTCATTGGTTCTAGGAATTGAAATTCACCGAGAAAGAAGAAAAAGGGGTATTAGGACTATCGCAAAGGCATACTTAGAAAAGATTCTAAAGAAATACAGTATGCATGCAAATAAACCTACGCCTGCTCCTAAAGTCAAGAGTAATAGATTTGGAAACCTTCCGTGTTCCAGGAACCGATATGAGATCGATCAAATAAACATGGTTCTATATGCTTCAGCTGTTGGAAGCTTAATGAATGTACAAGAACTTACCTTGACGTAGCTTACGTATCCGGGATATTTTGACAGAAGTTCAGTCGAGATATAGATCACTAGAATGGAGTTAAGAATGTCTTGCAATTTTTTCAAAGTATCATAGGCCTCATGCTGAGTAAGAAAGAACAAGTACTCTCAAATAGTTGTGGGTACAAATGTTAAACCTTGACGAGATGTGTAGTGAAATCCACAGTAGTTGCTAACACTCGCAGTTGGAGTATTATTGTGAAAAAGCTCCAAAAAAACAGTTGTGGTATCATAAATGACGCATACCATAGTATAGCTTGGTAATGAGGCTTCAGGGACAGGCAAAAGTGGTTAAGGAAATTTTGTATCCGGAATTAACAATGGTAAACAACAGCAATAACCATTTAAAGCAAATCACTCCTATGACAACAGGTAAAGTGTACTGCCAAACACATTGACATTAAGTTAAATGTTGTAAAGGAGAAAATTTAGAATCATTTTGAAAGCATTGAGCATATAAGTACCGAGTAAGTACTTGCGGATCCGCTTACTAAAGGCTTACCGCCCAATGCGTTCAAAGAGCACACAGTCGACATGGGTTTACGAGAAAGCATATGATTTCTGGATACTAAGAGCCTAGTTGAGAATATATTTCAAAACAGAGAGGTGTATTGTAGCTGTTAGTCTAATAGTACTAACTGTTATGACGAGGCATGCTCTATGCACTAATATGTGATGGAATGGGAAAAAAGACAAAGTGAACTAAGTTTTAAGTCATAAGGTGAGATCAAGGGGGAGAATGTTAGATTGATTTCCACCCGGCTCGGTCCAACGATAGAGTCGGACCCTGACTCGCGCCCTGATCATGGGCGCTCAGCCATTCTCCTGGCTAGTGGGCCCCCGTCGCGCAGCGCTATGAATAGGAGGGGGCTGGGGCTCGAGATATGAGGTTCACCGTAGCCGCCAGCGCCCCACCGACGTCCTAACCCTAGTCCGATCGAGAGGGCGCGCTGTGAGCGACGGGAAGCGCCACCGCTTTCGGTGCTGCCACTGGATCACGCCTCCACTCCACAGCTACCTCTACTCCGACACTCGAGGCCACGTCGCTACGGCGCCATGGCCACGACTGCGCTTTGGGAGGTACATCGACAAGTTCTTTGTCTAAGTTAAGTTTCACCCGCTAGATCTACATCTAGAGGTCCTATAAATTCTATTGTAATACTGTACAGACTACAGTTTATGCAAATGACAAAGGATGTCATCAACAAATTACCCTTGGGTCCTTGGGGTTTCTCCTGAGAGCTTCAGTGTAATGCTTCACTGCTTCTGGATATTTCTGCTGCTTAAAGAACTCATTACCTGCACAGAAATAACAAATGGTTCAACACCACATGCAATTCTTGACAAGAAACATACTGCGGGCAACAGAACTCACTGCATGAATAATGATCAAGTGATAAGTGATGTGGCATACCTTTTTCTCGCTCCTCATCAGCAATTCCTGGGTCATAGTACTCTTGTTGCTCCAGCTCCTTCTTTGCTCGTTCTGCATCATTTAGTTTTTTGAGGGTATCTGGGTTCCGGTGCTCAGTTAACGCCTTCTGGAAAGTCTCAATGGCAGCATCATAGTCTTGCGATGATTTAGCAAGTTTAGCAAGAGCAGTTCCTTTTCTGGTGAGTGCCCTCGAGATCATCTTGAAATCAGCATGTAGTTCCCTTCCTCTCTCAACAGCCTTATCACAGTCCTTAATGCATTCATCAAACTGGAATTCAAAGGAAAAGTATTAGTTTCGAAGGACACCTGAATCCTACTTGTAGGACACCAGATAATGCAGTACAGGAATGAGAAAATCACTGCCAAGATATTATCGCAGGACATGCCCTAATTATATATGTTGATTTCTTCTAGCTACAAGCACTTCTGCAGTCCTCAGATTAGTAGATTACCATCTAGCAGAGACAATTTCTACCCTTTTTTTATTCTTATGCTCCATCTAGCAGAGACAATTTCTACCCTTTTTCTATTCTTCTGCTCCTTTTTCTGTGAGCTACCCAACCAAGTTTAATGTTGTCACAATTAAGCCTTTTGCATTGCCTAAGCATAAGCCAACAATAGGAGTGAATTCATTCACGACTTGAAGTAAAAAAAAATACAAGGAATAACTACCAACAATAATCGCCCTGTTCGCTTGGTCGTAAACAATCGTATTTTTCTCTCACACCAAACCAGCCAGCAGTAATAATCCACGATCGTATACTATCGTTTCAGCCCCAGCCGAACAGGCTGAATGTCGTTCTGGCTCCTACTCATCAAGCTCCAAGTTGTCCCTATCAGAATTTCAGAACTAGGGAACTCCCAAGTGGCCTGTATCAGAATTTCATGACTGTGGAACACTAAATGTATTTTGCATTTTTGCTCACTGTCACGATCACCAACTCCTACCACAAAACTTCCTTTAATAATGCAACTCGAGTTCTCGACCAATTCAAGTAGGTCTGGATATCATTTGCCTCAATTAATCCATGGAGAGACCAATACTTAGCCAATTTCATATCTAAAAGCTGTTTGTTTGCAGTATGTGGTAAAAAGGTCTCGGTAGCTGATCACATAGACAAAATTCTCTAACTGAAGACTACAATCTACATGTAAATAACTTGTGATTTAGAACTAGGACCTAGGAGGCCTTACCTTTCCCATCTCAAGATAAACAGCAGCACGATTGGTGATGTAGGAGATGTCCTCATCATCGAGCTCCATGGCCGTTGTGTAGTGCTGGATCGCGATATCAAAATCCTTCCTTTTGTAAGCGGCGTTGCCCGCTTCCTTCTCCTTCTGCGCCGACGCTTTCCTCTCCTTATGCTCCTTCTCCTCCTCTGTCACCTCCATAGGATCGGGCTCCGGCTCCGGCTCCCTTGCCTTTGCCTCTGGCTGCTGCTTTGGTGGCGGCGGATTCGATTGCGCTGCAGCCGGCTCAGGCGCCCCATTGCTCTGGTTCTGGAACTTGATGTCCAGCATGAGGGTGAGCACCTGAACCATTCGTTGGTCAGAAAGGTAGCTGTTCAGGCTGCTGGGGTTCCGCTGCACCTCCCGCAGCATCTGCACGAAGTCCGGCTGGTCGAGGTAGCCACGCGTGGTGGGATCGGCGGCGACCTTGCTCCATAGCTCAGGGCCCTGGAACATCTTGCCGACGGCGTCCGCCCCGGAGCCCACCGGACGTCTCGGCGCCGACGCGGCCTGGCGCGCCTGGGCGAGGCCGGACTTGAGCGCCTCATTGGACGGCTCGAGCGCGAGCCCTTTCTCGTACGCCTCGACGGCCTTGGGCGCGTCGCCGAGGCCCAGGTGCGCGGCGCCGAGGCGGGAGTAGCCCTTGGCCCAGTCCGGCTTCAGCGCCACGGTCCGCTCGGCGTCGCCTAGCGCCTCCGCGTAGCGCCCGAGCGACGCGTACGCCGCCGAGCGGTTGGAGTAGAGGACGTGGTTGTCGGGCGCGAGCGCGATGGCGTCGCTGAAGTGCTGGACAGCCTCCTCGAAGCGGCCGGCCGCGAACGCCGCGTTGCCCTTCGCCTTCGCCTCGTCCGCCATGGCGGCGGCGACTGGTGCTGATTGGCGTGCGATCGGGGAGGTGGATCGATCGAGATCGTCGGATTCGTATCGGCTGGTGGTGCGCGTTTCGGGTCTTCTGTGAAATCGTCGAGGAGACTATAAAGAGGAGAGAGAAGGCGCGAGTTCTAGTTCCGTCCGGTCTCCACGATTCTGGAAGGTTCCCGACGACAGGAGAAAACGAGAAGTCGCCGGACGCCCGAGCTAAAGGATCGTCTTGCTGTTTGGTCCGTGGAGCAAAGTAGTCCATCTTACATCTTTAGCTTTTTTTTTGGTTTGTGAAATAAAATAAAATAATTTATTATCGACATATTTCTTACAAGCTAATAATTGGTATTATCATGAGAAATTAAGTTATTTCACTAAATTAAAAAGATAGACTCATGATGCATCACCTCATCTAAAATAAGTTAATTTTTAAAACCAAACACTCTATTAGATCTAAAAAATACATGAGAATGAAAACGGATGTAAACCAGCCTCCTGGGAAAAACATGAATGGATTTTAATTTGAAAGTCGTGATAAAAAATGAAATTGGGATATAAGGATATAAGCAAATACAGATGGAGAGCCCGAAAATTAAATTAGGATCAATTGGTCTAGTATTATCAAGTATGCACGTATAAAGTCTCACAACAATACACATGTATGAAGAACGGTCTAATATTCACTTGTATGTCATGTGTGTTAAAACACTAACATGTATAATTGATGATTAGTATGTGTATTAACATAACACAAGGACATATAATTGTTAGGCATCTATCTTATAGATTGAAAAGTTAGGCATGCACTCATCCCTCGTTGATTCCATCTCATTTCCTTCTACATGTCTTCCTCTTCCTTTTCCACGACATGTCTCAACCACAACTTCCCTTTTTCTTGAGCAAGGCCACATGCCCATGTGTAGGTGGCCTCGTTACCTCTCAGTGAGCAGGTTGGGCAACGACTCGCTAATCGCCTATTTAGATACTCACCTCTTGTTGCATCTCACCACCTCTAAGACCGAACAAGTTTAAGAACCTAAATGGGTGATTGGACAACACATGCGAACAAGTTTGAGAACTACCAATGGACTTTTACCCAAACGAGAATATAACCATCACAAATCATACATGTCCTAACCTTTCCACGCGTGGAGCGGGCAAAGACTATGTAATTCCTCAACAACGTTGAATGCTAAATAAATTTTTACCCTAACCTTACTTGACCTTCGATAAACCCCGAATGTGTAGGTGGCCTCGTTCGACCTCTAGATGAGCAAGTTGAAATTGGATGTCCGCAAAAACTTTCAAGAACTATGCTAATCGAATCCAGCCTATCTTAAAAGTTATTTAGATCTCACCAAAGTCGAAGAAAATGGTGACCACCACGAATGCAAATATGGATTTGTGCATCTCACCAACAAAGGTTCTAAGAAAGTATGAACAAGTTTAAGGACCTAAATGGGTGATTGGACAACACATAAAATGAGTCTTTTTAAAAAGTTTTCTAGAACTACCAATGGACTTTACCCAAAAAAACAACAGAATATAACCATCACAAATCATACATGTCCCCATAACCTTTCCAAACTTCACAATAAGAAATATACAAGCAAAGCAGCTCATTTACACATCAATCCCCATCATTAATGAAGCGACCCGATTTCCATGCCACAGGTCGAAGTGTAATAAGACCGCTAGGCAATAGACTATGTAATTCCTCAACAACGTTGAATGCTAAATAAATGTTTACCCTAACCTTACTTGACCTTCGATAAAGTTGAGGAAGACATGGGCTTCAATCACCAAAATTTATCAAGATCATTTTACTTGGCCACTCCCACCCTATGAGCATTGCTTTGTGGAAATTGTGCAAGTTGGATATGATCAAAAGGAACCTATAAGGCTGGGGTTTCCTATGTTTTAGCATATCAAGTACATAATAATAGTTGGTCAAGTTTTAACACCATTCCCACACACATTCCACCCCATTCCCATTAGAGAGCCAGTTTCGATCCGATATAGCTAGATCGGCTATCCCTCTTGGCACTGTCTCAAGTCACGGAAATTGATGTCCACTAGGTACAAAATTGAATTTCGAAGAACTATGGTACATAGGAGTGGTAAAAGAATCCATTCCAACCTTGCTAGCCTAGTTGACTATCTTAAAAGTTATCTGAAATTTCCATGAAGTCGTTTCCTCCTTCACAATTATGGATCTCACCAAAAGTGAAGAAAATGGTGACCACCGTTCCCAATGCAAATATGGATTTGTTTTTTTCCATGATGACTTGAAGTTCTAACTTTACCACAACAAAGGTTCATTCCAAAAGCCTGGCACCCCACGGCAAGACTCTGCCACTAATGGTCACCCTCCACGCACCCAAGTCAGCAAAGTTTGACAATAAAATCAAATGTAGTGCAAGCGTAGCGATACTTATGGGCTATAGCAAAGTTTGACAATAAAATGAGTCATTTTTTATTTAAACTATGGCAAGTTCTAGTCATAAACCATAGCGCATGGCATGGCGCAAGCGATCGCATTATAGTCGCGGCTACAAATTTCAAAAAAAACTCAAAACAACGCGCGGATGAATGATCGCAACCACTAATAACCGGCTAAACTAACTTATGTGCATACTAGAAAACAATCCCATAACATCAATTCTTCAAACATGGTGTTGTCCAAACTTCACAATAAAAAATACAAAGCAAATCGATCAGCTCATTTACACATCAATCCCCATCATTAACGTATCAAAGAACTTATATATTTGCCTCATATGTCAACTCAATCATACACCATGAACTTGAAATCGGGATGGCACCAATGGCAATCAAGATAAGAACCAATCAATAAATCTCTACGCCAGACACCAAGGTTTACGTGAAAATTTCTTACGACAAAAAACTACGAATGTGCAATGAGCAAGCAATCCACTGTGAAGATGAATGATATGAGAGATGGGAGCCAACAAGATTGGGGAAAGCTCCAAATCCCCATAAATTTCACTTTTCTAGCGGTGAATTTGGTAGATCAAAACCTCACAATCTCCTATCTCGAATCGATCCTAGCACCCTCTCGGCGCAAATGAGCAAGCCCTAGTGGATCGGCCATTACGGTGTCGGGCGCCGTCTCTTCGCGGGCGCCTTCTTCTTCTTCTTCCTCTTCTCCTTCTCTTGGCTCGGGTGCGCGGTGGGCGGCCACAAAGTGGCGGCGATGAGACACAAAAGAGGTCTCAGGTAGCCCTTTTGGGATAAAATGGACATTTGCGTGACTTTCATTTTGATAGGCCCTCCAAAGTTGTCTTTTTCATAAAAAGTTTTGGACTATACACCTAATCAAATACTAAATTCATTCTTTTTTCAAATTATAGAATTTCAATTTGACTTTTTTGAATTCACCTAGTCATTGTAGTTTTTGACCACTCATCTTATTCAAAATTTATTTAGCTATTTTGTATAACAAAAATATCAAAAATGGAAACAGATTTTTCATTTTATTGTTTGAGTAATAACTTTTATGGTTTATTTCTTTATTAACAAAACAAATGAAAATTCTTCAAGAATGCCTTAAATTTGATTATGTTTGACATGCCATGCTCAATTGTTTTTTGAATAAGACGAGTGATCAAACTTGAGATAAAAAAATCAAATAAATTATAATTTAGAATGGATGGAGTATATAAACAATATTTTGCATATGTAATTGCTCGAGTGAGTCTCAAATGGTGTCAACAGGAGTTGCAACATCACACCCATAAATTTCTTTGAAATCTGAGAAAAACTAAAACTTTTTAGAAGTTTGAATTTTTTTCTAGTGGTAAATTTGGTAGATCAAAACCTCACAATCTCCTATCTCGATTTTTTTTTTATATTAGGATACACCTAATCAAATACTTTGGATCCCTTTATTTTGGAGGAATTTGAAATCTACATAATGGATTAGGTGGCTTATTTTCAAGATTTAAATTTGACATTCCATAACTTTTTTTGAATAAGCTCATCAAACTTGAAAATAAATCTATTTCAAATTCACATATAAACAATATTTTGGTAATTGCTCGAGAGTAAAAATGGATTCTATAAATTACTATGAGAAAAACTAAAATTTTAGATTTGAATCTCTCAACTTTTTTTATAGCATTAAAATCTTCAACTCACTTCTAACTTTTCAATAAAATAAGTACAACATAAATTAGCTAAGTATGTCCCTTTCAACTACCTAACAATAAATATACAAATATATTCCAAATATATATACAACTATATTAACTTAATTAATCTATATCTCAATTATAATTATTAGGATGAATTCAATTTCAAGGATACAAACATGTCAGAGTTTTTGGAACAAAATTTCTATGAAATGAGCTATTCAATAGGACTTTTGAAGAAAATAAGCATATAAAGTCCAACCTCGTTTCTTCTTTTACTATGTCTTAGGATGCTTACTTACCATCCAAACGCCTCATTAGTTATTCTTCCTCATTCTGTTTTCTATAGAAATTTCGTGGATAGGCACGCCAATCATACGTTTTTCCTATTCCTGATTGGCGTCAACTTTGATTTCTGAGTGGCACATCCTACATTGAAATCTCGTCGTCGTCAATTTTGAGTTCTGAGTGGCACATGCTACTTGAATGGCAACCGTGCTCGATCTCATTTCAGTACGCGTGAAACAATCGCGTTATCCCTCCACCTTGCCTGCCGGCAACGTCTAACACCCTTTGGCACAAGCAGCACAAAAGCATGCCCCGCCCCGGATTGCTCGAGAAGAGACGGAAACGTTCCATGATTTCCTGCAGCGATTCCAGACTATGATCAGAAACAGTCGGTTTCTTTGCGTCTCCCCCCTCTCCCTTTCGTGGCGATAGACAAAAAGGCTAAACAGATCACGCGGGTCTCTGTCAACTCTTCGCTTTATCAGCTCAGAAATCTCGTCGAAATTAGTCAGTTGACGGCGACCCGACGCGCGCATTTTCTTACGCTGAAGC